CATGGGTGTTCACTTTTCCCAGGAAACCTGTCTGGCAGCTCTTGGGATCTTCCTGGCCAACCAGTAAGCTTCCAGTTCAGTGGAGATCTTGTCTGAAAAATAAAGTCAGAAGGCAACAGAAGAGGATATGCAACATCATCCTCTGGCCTCTGTGTGTGCACAGGCACACAGATTTGCACGTTCTCATGCACTTCGTAAATATACAATGCGCAGAGAGAAAGAGACAGAGACAGAAAGTGAAAGAGACAGAGAGAGGAGGGAGGGAGGGAGGGGGAGAGAGAGAGAGAGAAGGGAAAGAGGAGGGAAGGAGAGGGGGGGGATGCTGAGTGTCCCCTCAGAGAAGCTGTCTTCTTTCCTTTGAACACTTGAAATGGGATCTGTCTTCAAATCTGTGAGAAGAGAAGTTGTTATACTAACAGACCTCTAGGACTTACTCATCTTGCATAATTGAAACTTTATACTCTTGAATAGCAAGTTCCCACCTCTGCCTCCATGCAGCTCTAGGCAATCATCATTCTAATGTTTCTATGAGTTCTGTCTTTTATATTTCATAAATAATACAGTAGAGAACTTGTCCATCTATGTCTTATCACTTAGCATAATGTCTTCTAGGTTCATCCATGTATTTTTCAAGGCTCAAAAATATTTCAGCGTGTGAGTGTGAGTGTGTGTGTGTGTGTTATCTTAATCCAGGATCAGGAAGGCTAATTTCGTATCATGGCTAAGAATTGTGCTGCAGTGAACGTGAGTGTGATGTCCCTTCAATATCCTTGTTTCATTCCTCTGAATAAGTAGTTGAAAACAGGACTGCAGTAATATGTTAGTTCTATTTTTCAAAAATCTTAGAAATTTCAACGCTGTTTTTCCTAGCGGTTGCGTAATTTCACATTCCTACTGACATCATTCTAACTTCTGCACATCCCCACCAACACGTGTATCTTGTTCTTTTGATGGTATCCACCCTACAAGTCCAGGGGCTACTTTGCTGTGGTTTGGATTTGCATTTCCTAGCCACCAAGCCCAAAGGATCCCCATCTCTGCTCCTCCCCCAGCTCTGGAGCTCAGCTTACACCATGACACTCAACAACTTTTACATGGACGCCATGACACTCAACTTCTACAAGGGCTCTAGAGTCTGAGCTCAAGTTTTCCTGTTTGGGCAGGAAGCACTTGACCCACTGAGCCGTCTTCCCAGCCGCTTGGATCATCTTTTATTCAGGCGACTTGTCATTCCATTGCAGAGTTGGAGGCTGGTCACACTGTCATCTTCTTACTTTGCTTTACACACTTGGGTCTGTAACAGACCTGGAACGTGCCCTTGGGCATGGCATGAAGCGGGTGTTTTAAAGCCATGAATCTATCTGTTTAAGAAGTATCAGGGAAATTTATTAAGGTAAATTGAGGAAATATACTCATGAATACAGAACGGAGTAAACAGCTGAAGTCGTCCTCTGATCTGACCTGGAGCAATTCCACCTCACAGGCAGGAGCAGGGAGCAGGGGGCACGCGAACCTCCTCCCCAGGCAGAGCAAATACCACTAGAGTTTCTCCTTCCAGAGATTGCTACAACTAATTGTTTGGGCGGGAGCTCCACCTCAGTCCCTGACACCCTGGCAGCATATACCCAAAGAGTCTGGAGTGTTCTGGTGGAAGACCCACCTCAACTCCCCTCCCCCATCTCCTTCCCCAAACCCACCCCTTCAAAGCCCGCCAAACACAGCTCCTCCCCCAGAGAGGCTCAAGACCACTCCCACAGGGTACTTAAGCTGCATCCCAGAAAACAGACACATGGTTTTCTGGTCTCTCATCCAGTCTCCTCTCTGGGGGGCTGGAGAATCACCCAGGAATGCTTTACCCATTAAACCTGGGCTTTTTCTAATTCGGTCTGATTTGGATTGCTGCGTAGGCAGAGAGGCTTATCAGGGTGCGAAAAAACTTATCACTAATCTCATGCCATCCACTTAAAAGTAACTCACCTTTGCCACAATCGTCTGTGTCCTTTCTGAGTTCAGCTATTTGCACTTCTCTTACCTAAAGGGAAACACGGAATTCAGAAAGTCCCACTCATCCACCCTCCCCCAAGCTGTTACCTGGTACTTATTCATAGACTTGGGTATTCTCAGTTCTGTGTTAGTGGACATCAGTTTTATACAACGCAATTCTTTTAACAAGTTTATTACTGAATTAGCTTTATGACACTTTTAGCACTCTGCCACATACCTATGTACTCAGAGTTCCTTGCATGGTCCATGCTCATGATAGAGTTTTGGTCCCCAGCACCAGAGCAGACAGGAAGTACGGTTCAGTGGTCAGACCTAGGTTTCAGGACCGGGGAGATCCCAGCTCTCAGCAGATGTGCTCTTCTCCTCTGGTTACTTAACTTTCCAGGTCAGCAACTTGTGGTGAAATACCATTACTATACATCTGCCCATAAGGTTTAGGGAGAGCTTTAAAGCTGTGCATAATGCTACTCCACAGTGCCTGGCACTCAGTAAGCTCTCAATTATTAAAACAGAAAGCTACCACTATTTCATGGTGAATTTTTCACTTCCTCCCCAGCCAATCTTGTCAGTGAGAAATCACCTGTGTTTTATCTTACTTCTGAGAGCACTTTTCATAATTAGATCCATAGAGATGAGTGTACCTCATTTCACTATGGCAAGCACGTATGTCAATGAGTAAACACACGCTGGCCTTTGGGGAAATTCGGAGTCCTTTTCACAATCAGCTGGAAACCAGAAGGTAAAGCAAGCAGTGAGCAAGGCCATGGATGGAAGGGCCAAGGACCTGACCTCACCATGCGACGCTCTAGACTGACCCCACAGGCATCTCTTCAGCATCTGCACATTTCCTGCCCATGCACTCTCCTCTACCCATGACTTCCAGAATGAAAGGGGCACTGTGCTGCCCAGCTGAAATCTGGGCCTGACACCAATTGCTGACTGGCCTAGGGCCTGCTCATTTGCAGCCTGCCTTCAGCCTGTTTTGCCCCTGACCAGCCTAGTCTTGGCTCTGTGCTTCAGCTATTGTGGACACATGGGGTCCACCACTCAGGGCTCTGCTGTTACATTCTTGGGGCAGCTCATTTCCTAGGTAGCCTACTGCCTGCCCTTCTGGGCTCTGGCCTGACCCTTCTGGTATCCTGATGGGTAGTGCCTGTGGCTTCTGCAGTTCACATCTATCCAACAGCAATCTCAGTCCCGTCTACTACAGCTAAAAAGTCCAAGTGATATTCCTCAAAGTCATGGGGAACCCGAGAAGGCTCTCCAGACTGAAGACCAAATAATGTTTCCCAATACCCAAATGCACTGTTGTCTCCAGACCAGCTTGTTGAAGGAACAATTCCTTTACAGGCATCAGGGAAATACTTCACAGACTTCTCCATTTAAGCACTTTGCTTCTTGAGCATTTGTAATTATCAGGTTTATAAGCAGACCTTATTAAAAGTAAGAGACAACTATCAGGGTGCTTATACAAACCTCTTGGCAAAAGGTCGTCAGATCTTTGACCAGATTTTAAGTCGGACAATATTTTGCAACTGAGCCCACCTTAAACACCTTTTATCCCCCACTAGGGATGGATATACTTTTCTGGTGTGTAACTCAAACTTGTTTTCTTTGCCAACTGAATAATTAAGAGTTTGCACCTGTTTCTTTTCTTGAATTGATTCAACTTAACGAGCCCTGCTTTGTGGAGCTGTTATCCGAGATGCCCCACGGTAATCAATCCCATTGCTTTGCAAACAAAGGGCTTTCTTCTTGACAAAGGAGTATGATTATGAAATGCTTTTTTTCATGTACATGAAAACTTAATTTCAGTACATATAATAATCACATGGTGTCTTAGCACATTTGTTGCTATAACAAAATACCCAAGACTGGGTAATATATAAGAAAAGACTAATTTGCTCAGAGGTTCTAGTCAGCATGGAGATGGTCCCACACCATATCCTGACATCAAAGAGGGCATCATATGATAAGACTAAGCAAAGTGAGCCAGAGAGCTCATTGGCTAAATAGAGGCAGAAAGAATATTAGAGGAAAAACATACTCCTTTATTATATTCCTATGAATATATTCACATGTAATACAGTCATATGTAAAAACAAATATATCCCATATACAATGTAGCAAACAAAGCAAAATGCCCAAGGGTTAAGTTGGGTCTATCTGAACATGCTGATCCCTTCCCAGCCCAGGGAGACCAGGTATGGGTTTCTCTCTCCCCAGACAGTAACCACAGCAAACGTTGGATGATCTCTGGACCCTGAGTCCAAGGCTGTGCAAGACAATGTCTCATGAAGGGAGTGGAAGCCCAGAGACCTCCTGTGTCACATGGGATACTCAGGTGTCTCCAATATTCTCTAATGCTCAGCTGACACCCAGGCAGTGCACTGCCCCAGTGCCATGGTATGGCAAGCTGACGGTAGCTGTGTTTCCTCAGCATAGCTCTGGTCAGCCACTAATGGCAGAGAGCAAAGCTCTAGTGGGGAGACCATGGTCAAGGCGAGCAGCCAGAGTGAACCCACATCCCTGAGACAGAGAGACAGGAGGTAGAGTGCAAGTGTTAGCTTTTACTGTTAACTTTTCATCTTGGAATAGTGACATATGTTTTTAAGTTGCAAAAGTATGGCAAAGATCCCCTATTTGCCCTTCACTCAGATCCTCAAGATGCTGCTTCATGGAATTTGGTACCAGAACCAGGAAGTGGTACTGGTAAGACTATGTTTAGTCTACAGCCCCTCTTCCACTCCCATAGCTGCCCCTTAAGCATCTCCTAGCCTGAGCCCCAATCTGAGGTCACACTTGCTCTTTCCTGTTATTGCACATACTCACACAAACCACACAACCATATGTTTAGGAAGACTTCCAAGTATTCTGTTTTCTTACATGAATCTTTACCTGGGGCATGTGCTATTGAAATTTTAATCTTCCAAACACTAACCTTACTCACAAACCATAGTTTCTCATGGAAAATAAGAAGGCACTAGACAGCCTGCCACGGATACACTTTAACTTTTAATAAGAACAAAGTTGTAAAAACAAACAACTCACTAGTAACAAGACTTTCCCACCTACTGCTAAACCTCAGTATTTTGTCCCAAACCAATGGTTTATTTTTGCTACGCTGAGGTAAAGGGCCAGGCTGATGAGGAAGTACTCTTCCGTCTCTTCAATCCACACCAGCTCTGCATGCACTCCTCCTTCTGTGTCCATGTAGTCCACATAGTAAGTGTGCCCCAGGAAGTTAGGACCGTCAGAGGGGTAGGCGGCAGATCTCACGCACACTGGAGAACTCACACACCAAAAGGGCTTCCTGTGCTCATCCAGAAGGGTCACATCCACTACACAGCACCTCTGTAATTAAGATTAACAAGTGTCAGGATGAAATGCTCATTTTCACAGGAATTGTGACTCTGTAAAACCGACTGGAAATGCTGCTTGTGGCATGCAACTCCAAAGTCCTCTCATACACACCACAGGACCTACTTTTTATCCAAAACCCAGCTAGTGCTTACCAGACTTCCTCATCCATGTGTGTGCACAAAGCTGTCAGTGTGGGCAAGTTAGTGCCAGAGCCTGTCTAAAGGCAAAGGTCTGCAGAAAATGAGAGGTCTGTGCCACTGCTTCCAAGAGGATGGCACCCTGCCCTGGACAGCAGCTTCTCAATGCTCCAGCAGACTGTTGCCTTCCACTCTCTTGACCCATTTCCTTGAGGCTCCGAACTTCCGGCCTCAGGTTTCTTTCCTTCGTTGTCCACCATCTTCTGTTCACACCGTGACTGGCACTAGGCTCCCCATCCACCCATGTCTCCCTCTCATTCTCTCTCTTTCAAGTCTCACCATCTCCTCAGAGACCCCGACTGCTAGTGGACCAAGGACAGACTCCTAGGATCCATTCTTCACCTCAGTTATTCATCCCCACACTCTGACTCCAGACACTGTGCCTCCTGTGAATGCGGCACCTCCAGAATCAGCACTGTAGGCCCTGCTTCCCACTTGTCTCTTCACCTTCCTACTTACTCAGCTTCTCCTGGTTCCCAGCCCGTCACTAGATGACAGATTCACCAGAATTTTGTCACTGTGATGCACTTCTAGTGCATCCTGAATTACATGCTGTGAGGCACAACTATGTGTTAAATTACACACAGCACTATCTTAGTACATTCTGTATAGGTAACATACATGTAACATATAACACATGTGTGTTTTTGTGTGAGAAAAGGTTTAGGAAGCATCATGGCCCATGACCCCTAACCTACCAGTCCTCTAACTCTCCTTGGGCCTCCTCATCCCAATCACTTCCATTTCACTGTTCTTCACTGGATGACCTCTTCCTCAATGCTTTATCTCACCTGGCTCCACATCGACTAAAACCCAGCTGTGCCTAAGTCAAAGTGTCTCATGTGTGTCTGGATCTGATTGCCCAGCACAGCAGCTGAGCCACAGATGGCTATCCCCAGGTAGCCATGGTCACGCTCAGAATTCTGTCTTTTGAGTATACTGTGCATTACACACCTTTCTCCTCCCAGAACTGGCATACTGCGCCCTCTCCTCTGAACCTCAGTGCTGTACTCACAGGGTGCCCCTGCACATCATGTCCTCTTGCCAGAGAGATGTGAGAAGAGCACCTTCCTCTCTTACACACAACTATGTCCACATCACCTCCTTATGCACATCTGTGTTCAGTGTGCTTTTAGCAGTGGGTTGGGACGGTTCACCGACAAGGAGGGAGCCTCTGACACAAGTGAGCGCTATCTCTCTTCCACCAGCTTTTAACGTTCAGACATGTTCAAGTGACTCTGGGAAGAGGAGGACCAGAAGGAGGGAGGAGGGGAGGGACAAATGGACAGACACACAGGGAGAAATAACCCTCCCAGAGCCTTGGTGCCCTTGCTCTCTCTTATCTCTGCCGACAAATCTACCTTCCCTCCGTCCAAAGCCTTACCTCCTGCTCACGCTTCAACCCACTCTGACCCACCTCCTCCTAAGGTCTCTAAACACAGTGAACATCTGTTCAATCTCCACCTGGGCAGGCTGAGCACTGCTTATCATTCTGGTTTCAAATACCACCTTCCCAGCACTTCCAGAACAACCCATGGCTTCCACCAGGCCTACAACTAGTGGTCCCCACGGCTTGATGAAGCACTGGTTTTATTATATATAATCACTCTCTCTCTAGATGGAATCAGTCTACATCCACAACTCACAATAATCAAGGTGTCCAGGGCTTCCAAAGTGTACCTCCAAGCTGAACCTCTTTCAGATTCAAGAATTAAATATACAAGTTTTTGCTCAACAACTTGGATGACCCAAAGGTCAATCAAGTTTGGTGTAATTTATTCAAAGACATGATCATCCCAGTAAAACTGCACCTAGCTTGGGTACTGTGGTGGCATCACTGGCCATCAGCTGTCTGGTTTGGTGCCACCCGACTTCCTCTTGCCCTCACCATCCACCTGCAGCCCACCACTAACCCTGCCTGGTCTCTATTAAACGCAAACTGATGCCAAGCTTTACTGCAGATTTCTAAGCCCAGGCTCTGTCTGGGGAAAAAAACAAAAAAAGATAATTTGTAGTCACACATGCCTATTAAAAATAGAAATAAAAGAAACTCTTTTGCTTGCAATCGCAGACACAGCCTTCTAATGTATAAAACACCCCTCTGGGTAAATGCTGATGAAGTGTGTCACCTAAATCTGGTTCTGTTAAAAGAACAAAACAATGATTTGTTCCGCTGCTTTCTTTGAAGTGACGTGTGAGCTTGACAGAGGTCTCTGATGGTCTGGGCTCCATGGCTCCCATGAGAAAGTGCTGGTTTACTAGGGCTCAGGAGTACAGGGAGCTAACACTTGCTGGCTTGGTAATGATACAATGGGGAGCATCCCAGGCCAGGAGCTCACACATCTCTGTGGCGGAGGTTCAACTTGCAGATCACAGATCAGTTTTCCTCTTTCTAAGAAGACGGGGGTAGAAACAAGTTGCAGATGATTGCATTGACTAAATGTCATGTGACCCGCACAAGGCAGTGCTCTATGGTCAGGCACTGTGCTTCCTGTGCAGTGGCGTGCACAACCAGGTCTGTGTCAAGTTGCCTGAGGTGTTCAGTATCATTCACAGTGACACACTCCCTAACCTGTCTGTCTCTATTCCTTCAGAATCTCTTATTTATAGATCTCTTTTGGCAATCCTTCTCTTATAAATATGGCAAGAAGATGTCTTCCTTTGGTTTTTCCTTTATGCCTTGTCATCTTATACATTAGAAGGTTACACCTACAATTCCCAGGCAGAAGAGATTATCTGTTACTTCTATTTTTTAATACAGTTCTGCCCAGATGTCTACCAAAGTGCAAGATGAGCACCACGGTGCAGAGGCTGTCTGCAGTCACAGTCAACCCGTGACTCCCAGATTCCACTTAGACATATGTGTCTAAGATTACCTTATTTTTCAGGCAGAGCCTTAATCTGTAGCCCAGGCTAGCCTGTACTGGTTGTTATCCTCCTGCCTTAGTTTCTCCAGTGTGTGAGGTAAAGGCATGAACAAGTACATCCAGCTAAAGCCTTTTTGTACTTTATGTTCTTCCTTTAAACAAACAAAACAAAGAAACTAAACCCCCTAAAGCCAATTTCTTAAACTGCGTTTTTACTGTTCACTGTGCTTAGGGTGGTCAGATTCCTGCAGGGAAATCCCTGAGCTATACAGCACACACATGGAACACGGTGTCCCTCACTTGGATACTTTCTTTGGGAACTCCAAGGATAAATTAGCCATAACACATAATACTGGCTCCAAACATAAGTGGTATATCCACATCCACCCAACCTCCAACTCAGGAGACAACAAACTCTTCCCCGTGAGAAAAAGTATTATTGGAGAAACTGTCCAGGGCCATCCACCCACTACTACTTCAAAGGCTCAGAATCCCGCCTGTAGAAACAGTGCCCTGAGCTTGCTGGAGGGCCAAGTTCTGCAGCTGTTAGTGCAGCCTCTGTGAGAAATGTTGTGGAAGTCCCCAGCAGACTTATTGTTAAAGGACTCCTTAGGGTTGAGTCTTCCTTACATGCAGTTCCAGGGGAGGCTTTGTTTTCAATCCCAGGGCTAGGATAAAGCTTTGTCTTGGTAGAATTACCATACTTCCCTTTTTAACCCCAGAGAACTAAACGCCTACTTTGATCTTGTTGTGAAGAGAAAACGAAATTAAATAACTTTAAATTTACCCTGACCCTTTAAGCTTGCCATATTTATATTCTGCCTTTCTTGGTCCTCAAGGTCTATTTTTAACGTTAATATTTTATTTTAATGTGTTTTTACGTCATGGCCATTTCAGTCTACTACAGAAAACAAAAGGTCACATCTGTACTCAAATATATGAAACAATAATCTTTTATATGTGACACACACACAATTTGTACCAAGGTTTAAGATGTGCTCACAGATAAACAGGATAAATAACAAATCCCAAATGGTCTTGGTCAGTGTCATTACAGTTCTGCCCAGATGTCTACCAAAGTGCAAGATGAGCACCACGGTGCAGAGGCTGTCTGCAGTCACAGTCAACCCGTGACTCCCAGATTCCACTCACACCATTCCGTAAAGAGAACCAGGGGTAACCATGGGCACACAGTCACACAAGAGAATGGAACCATGGGAGATCTCTAATTTCTCTTCCCTCTCTTCTTGACAACCCCCAACACTAACCCAACTCTCCCCACCACTTGGTTACTTTTATTTAGCTGCTCAAGATCCTGGAAACTGGAACAGGAACTCAAAACTGCACAGCCTTCAAAAGGGTGAAAATGTTTCCAGCAACTGCTACTTGCCTGGCCAACCTTCAGCTCCTTCCTCTCTCCACTGGACAGACTGACTGAGTGTGTAAGGGAATAGAGGGAACAGTCAAAGCTATTCAAACACAGCTACAGTCTACCTACCCATTCTACTCCTATACACTCCATGGACAGCAAAGATATTTGTGGTGGTTTGAATGAGAATGGCCCCCATAGGCTCATGTTTGAATGCTTGGTCCCCAGTTAACAGAACTGGTTGGGAAAGATTAGGAGGTGTGGCCTTGTTGGAGGAGACATGAACTGGGGGTGGGCATTAAGGTTTCAAAAGCCTACACCAGACCTAGTGTCTCTGTCTCTGTCTCTCTCTGCCTGTGGATCAGGATGTAAGCTCTCAGCTACTGTACCAGTGCCATGCCTGTCTGCTTCCCACCATGATGATCATGGACCAACCCTCTAAAACCAGACAAGCCCCCAGTCAAATGTTTTCAAGCTGCCTTGGTCATGGTGTCTCTTCACAGCAATAGAACAGTAACTAATACAAAACATTAAATAAATACTTGATGAAGATCTCATTCTGCTAAAAGAATTCACAAATCTATAGAAACCAGAATACTTTTAAGGGAGGTTTATATATATAACAACAGACTTTTTTATTACACATAAGTTACTTGAAGAAAAAAATAACTTTTGTTTTTACCTCAATAAAGCCGTCAAAAACATTAGTTCTCCATGCAAGGCCAACTTTTCCAATAAGAGGTAGGTGTTCTCTATTGTTTTTTAAACTTATCGCCATGAACTTCACATATCCATTCTCAATGCATCCTGAAATGATTTAAGGTTAGTTTAATTGCTGCATTTCAATGTGAGGCAAAAAAAAAAAAAGTCTTTAGGCTGGCTACTCCTGAGGTATGCCTTGTACTGTGACGTTCTACTCACTAAGGACACGTGCCCTGGAGACACAGCACACTCTATCATGAGGCCTGAGTAGTAAACCTAGATCTCAGAGACTGGAGAGCAGATGTGGGTTCTAAGGAAACTGCCAAAGGTGAGTCAGAAGATGGCTGAGGAAATACACGCACGGTCACTGACGAGAAGACAAAGGCTCAGCCTCACTGGCTGTGTCAGCTAGCTTTCCATTATAGAAGACACTTACAAGGAGGGACGGCTTGCTATGACTCAGCTTTGAATGTTTCTGTCTATGCAGGTTGACCCCAATGCTTTTGGATGCGTGATAAATGTACATTATAGAATACATGTAGAGCAAGCTGAGGTCCCACTAGACCCTTTAAGGGCACACACACACACACACCCCATGACCTGAAGCCCCCCCCCAAAACAGGAACCACTTCTGATAGGGTCCACTACCTCTCAATAATGCCAAGCTGAAAACCATGACTTTTAAAACACATGGGCCTTTGGAAGAAGGGTCATTACAGATCAAGGCCACATTACTTGGTCATGCCATCAGTCATGGGAATGGAAAAGGACAAACACTAACAAGCTTAAGGAAAGAGATTCAAATTATGTCAAAGAAAGAAAATCAAATGGGATCAAGAAATGAGGAAGGACTAAAGAGCAGGTGAACAAGAGGAGGGAAAGGAAGAAACCCATTGCAGAAACCTATCTTTGCATATGCTCTTAAGCAAGGAAAGACCTGCACATGTTTACCAAAATCTGAGCCCAGTCTCTACATTCTACATCCCTCTTCTACCTGGCTCACAGGGCATACTAGCAACTTTGTCACCACCACGAAGGAGTGCATGTGTTCAGCTTCTTGTGACAACCAGCGCCTGCAACATTGCCCTGCTCCTATGAACACACACCTCGAGTTATTTAACACACCATGAAGTGACATCAAGCACAGTAACACTGCAGTATCTTCACTTGTACATGATGACTTCAGAGACAGACATGTGCATAAAGGGGAGGTGTGACTCACTGGGCAAAGCAGAAGGAAAACATGGAAGGTTTGCACTTGGGTTATTTCATGGTGAAGCAGTTCATAGGAAACAGTGTAATACCGTGAGACCCCATTTGGTTTTGAGTTATGTACATATGCACACACACTCCTATCACTAAGCTTGGCAGTCTAGTTGTTTTCCACGTACATACTTTGCACACATTCCCCTGTAGTGGGTAGCCATTCCAGCTTTGATCTGGAAGTTCCAACCCCCACTGAGACTTTGGCAACTGTCACGCCTACAAGGCGGGGCCAAGGGAGGCGCCTGGAGACCTGAGATCTGGTTGGGCTGTACTCTCACTCTGTTCTGGGACCTTGGACGGTGAAGGTGGGCCAAGCAGAGCTCCAGAGAACACCGCTGGACTGCGGATACACCTTCCCCAGACCCCGCGACCTAACTATCCCTTAATTTGTAAGTTACGCCATTAAATAAATCTCCTTTTAACTACGTGGAGTGGCCTTAATAATTTCACCAATATCTGGCGCCCAACATGGGGCACGAACCCACGACCCTGAGATTAAGAGTCTCATGCTCTACCGACTGAGCTAGCCGGTGAAGGTGAAGGGCTCCGTCCCGGGGCCCGAGGTGGGATCCCAAGGTCCGAACGCACTGGGTCGGCCACCCACCCGACCCGTCTTGAAACACGGACTAAGGAGTCTAACACGTGCACGAGTCAGGGATTCGCACAAAAGCCGCTGTGGTGGATTCCCCTCTGTAAACAATGCACCGAGTAACCTCAGAACATCCTCAGCATGGCTACCCATACTCCCATCTCTAAATAACCCTGTATTTCCCCACCCCTGGTAACAATCACATTTAGACAGTTTCTTTTCAAGAGTATTCCCAATGTATCCAAGAATAAAGACCAAAAAGACCAATCCAGCCTGAATTGCTTTTTAGACTCAGATACAATACGACAAATTTATGTCCTTTGGTACCCTTCTAGGCTGAACTCCCTACTCATCATTGTATGGTAAAATGAACACATGACCTATCAACAAAAACAGAGAACTGTCTTCACTACACCCCTGTCTTAGTTGGGGTTTCTATGGCTGTGAAGAGACACCATGACCACAGAAACTCTTAAAAAGGAAAACATTTCATTGGGGCTGGCTTACAGATTCAGAGGTTTAGTTCATTATCATGATGGCCAGAAACATGGCAGCACACAGGCAGACATGATGCTGGAGGAGCCGAGAGTGCTACATTTGGATCATCAGGCAGCAGGAAGAGAGAGACACTGGGTCTGGCTTGAGCTTCTGAAACCTCAAAGCCCACCCTAGTGATACACTTCCTCCAACAAGGCCACACCTACTCTAACAAGGCCATACCTCCTGATAGTGCCACTCCCTGGTAGCCAAGCATTCAAATCTAGGAGCTTATGTGGGCCATTCCTAGTCAAACCACCACACCCCTTAATAACCAAACTCTTCCTCCTCTTGGAAACCACTGAAGGGACCTTCAAACAGTACTCAAAGGTCTTGAGCACTCTCTCACACGTGGCTCCACTGTCAAGCTTGAAAATGTATCCTTCTATAACCAGCACTGTGGCTTTGCTCCTTTCCTCCAAATAAAGTTATCTTGTTTCTTTTGCAAACCACTGTGAGCTCTGGATAAGAGGCACAAACACCTGGTCTAGACTCTGACCACCAGTAACAATGGATGAAATAAAAATGATGCTGAGCTGCCTTGGGAGCCAAATCCCTACTCCAGAAGTTCTATAGTGTTTTCTGACTTAAGTATACTCAAAGGTTAACATCAAGGCTTCACCAGGTACCTCCTGCCTTCAGCCCCTGTTGCCACAGTAGCAGCTTCTGAAGGGGAAGCCCACCTTGTTCCCATGTGAGCGACAAGAATTGTCTGCTCCTCTCCTGTTCTCCCACAGAGTAGATGGATGGCAGGTGACACCAGGCCAACAAGACTCCACACAACCCTATAGCAGATATCTTTTCCATGGACAAGGATCTTGTCCATCAAGGAACCACAAATAAAACTGGCAATTCATTGAAATGTAACACTACTAATCAATACACAAGAACAAACTACTGACATCTACAACTGTGTGGATAAAGCCTGAGTCCTACACTGAGCAGAAGAATCAGAGTACAGGGAAAGCCCAGAAGCACAGAGACAAACAGTGATACTATTTATGTGGTACTAAATGTGAAACCAATCTGTGGTGGGAAAAACGGACCATTCCTATGAGAGTCTGCAACAGAAAGACAAAGCACAAACATAAGTCTACTGCTGGCATCTGTGTCCGCCTCGCCCAGGGGCCTTCTGCTGCGTATTAGCCACACTTCCCACATGGCTGTGACTCTCAACAATTTAGTCCTTCAGAACTTCAACATTCATCTGTATGGATGCCAGCAATCTACCCTCACCTTTCCTCTTCTAGACCTCTACTGCACCCTGCCATTTCATTACATGCAATGGTTTCTGCATGCTGAGATCTGTTTGATCAAAAACAATACTCTGGAAATAAAAGGCCATGTCCTTCTGTGGCCTATTAACAACATACTGATGACACATTTTCAGCTACGATCAGGGTTCATTTCTGTTTCAGAAATAAATGTAACATAGAAAAGGTGGAATGTAAAGAACATGGGGAGGATAGGTTGATTGGTAATTGATTTTTCTAATGCATAAGGAAGAGGGAAAGGGATAAAGAAGATTAGAACGGACTGAGGCAGGAATCACCAGAGTTACCTAAAGAGATAAACCCAGTAAAGGGAACCGGACTCAAGATTCCACCTGAGAAGCAAACAGGGTAACACAGAGTCACCTAGGAAGAGCAAGAGCAAGCACCTCTCACACAATGAACTCAAAGCTCTTTGCCATGGAGTATTAACCAGTATTGACTAGACCCGATACCACAAAGGAGCAGTCAATAACACACTGGTGTAATCCTTAGGTCCCAGTGGTCAGACAGAGCCGGTTGATACTGCCTCTAAGGAGAGAAAACCTTTGGTGCTCCTCACTGCCTGTTACGTCCTGACATAACATCCCCCAGGCACATGCATGGTTTTTCTACACGTGTTTCCTTCCTGGCTAACCATTTTTAGACACCTTTGTTATTTTTCAAGTCTCCAGAAGAGAAGAAACTCATGTATCTAAGGTCAGTGAGATGGTGGAGGACGGAGAGACAGGGCTCCAGACACAGGGCAGGAATGGTCTCTTTGGTCCTTCTGTTACCCAGGCCAAACTCACACAGGTGAGGCTCTACTAGGGAGGTGAGGAGAGCACAGCCTCCACGCTCTCCATCTGGTTGGCATGGTAACAACGGTGTCAGTAAAACCTACTCAAGTCTTGAGTCTCAGGTGGTCTCTACACAAAAAGATACATACATAAGCAGCTGGACTGTTCCTGACACTGGTTAAAGAGAATAATAGACGTTCTTAGACTCTAAAACCTTACCACTGGCTAATTCGGCAGTCTGGAGCTTGCTCTTTTAAATTACTATGTTTACAGGTCCAGCAGGCATTTCCCTAAGTCTCAGTTCTATTTTCCACGGCTTTGCACCAATCAGTTCAGTCCACCTGGGTATAATTTACTTTCTAGACAAGTCTTCTCTCAAGTTAGAAGAAAATACATGGATCCTTTTGGAGGAGGGTTCTCTACGGCCTGCTCTGTTCTTGCTTCGGATACTTTTCATTCCCGACAGCAACAAGACAAGATGGCGGGGCACTGGGTAAGAGAAGCAACACCTCGGCGCTGTCAAGTATCCTCTTCATGTGGCTTCACGCTGACTTGGTGAGTTCATGGCACAGCCAACCCCAAGAAGATACAAGAGACTCTCAGAAGTGAAAAAGGACGTCAGACCCAAGACCCGACGGCCAGGGAGGAGAGCTAACTAAGAAG